TGAGAAAGATGCCTATTTAGTAAGCAAATAATTGCAATACAGTCTGATATTTGTAATTCTTAGAGGAAGAGAGGCAGAAAGGAAAGAGCAGTAGCTTCACAGTTCCTTGAAGGTGAGGGTGAGACTAACGAGAGCCTTCACCACAAAACCAGTCCTCCAAAGATCTCTAATTTTGAAATAGGATCCCTCCCCACCCTCATGAATGGCTATAAAGCAAGACAAGCTATCCTGTTGAAATCCTTCTGGACCAATCCCCCTTACACACACACACACACACACACACACACACACACACACACACACACAACCTTAATTTCTTCATTCTCTGCTCTACCCCCAAGCCAGTACCCACTGGTGATACTAAGATATTCATCTGGTTTAGAGAATAGCAGAAACTACCCATTCTTTTACCCTTCAAGATGCTCTCTAAGCACCTAGACCATTTCATTTTTTATCATCATCATCATCTGTTTGCATTATCTGGGGAAATTTGGTGTGAGTTAGAGTCTAGGGCAGTTTTAGGAAGAGTACAGATGGGATTTGAACAAAAAGAAATAAGCAGTGGTGGAGGAGAAGCAACATGTTGAAACTTCCTGGCAGCACTGGGACATTTTCTCAAGGACTGGCAGAAATGCCAGATTGTGAGTGGCAAAATTGTTTTGATGGAGTGAAGTAGAAGGGCTAGGGGTGTACATTAACTAGCAGCTATGTCTGCACAGGCTCAAATTCAGGATTGCTATTTGTTCTGATAGCAGAAAGTGGGGCAAGCCACTGAAATAGGAGACCATTCACTTAATACAAGGTGCCTGGCACCCTTGTTCAAACAGTAACTTGTACTTTTCCAGCACAGAAAGAATTTTAGTCACTTGAGCCCTTGGACCCTGGATCTGATAGCCAGATCTTCTGTGGAGCAGGGTGATCTCTGGGGAGTTTGGCCCTTCTTAGAGAGGCTCATTACATTCTCCATTCGAAAAAGTCCGAACCATTGCATTTTATGATTCTTCACACTGCCCACCCCACCTCCCACCTCTATTTTCCCCATGACCTTACCCATGGAAAACTTCAAATTATTTGGGCCTGACCATATGCCCAACCAGGTAGGCACTGAATTGGAGATCACCAATGGATGAGAACCCCAAGAATGATCAGAGGCAACAAGGATGCCCAATTTACCAGCCCACAGACCATTTGGAACTTCTGTTCATGCAAGACTATTCAACCGGTTCTGGATGTTGTTCACTCCCCTATATCCTTGGCTGCTTTGGAACAAAAAGGAAGCTCTGCAACTCTGAAGTTTGAAGAATTTGTATTTCAAGCCTAAACAAAGCCGTATTTAGTACTCAGTAGTAGTAATAATAACATGACAACCATACTGCCTGTATCTATATACCATTTTAGAATTCACACATTAGAATACCTTCTCATTTGATCCTCAAACCCTTGAAAAAAAAGATGTAAACTCCTATAAGAGATTTTGAGGAATATTAGAGAACAGAGAACATGCTGTAAAATTGGAGATGAATGAACATAGTTTTAATTTTCAAAAAGAAAAATGAAGTACCTTTCACAAACTACAAACAAACAGGTAAGATATTGCTCCTAGGCAAGATTCTAGAATGGAATATTAAGATTATGAGTACTTGGGCAGGATGGGGGAAAGGAAGTTATCAATAGGACCCAGTGTGGATTTACTAAGAACAAGTCACATCAAAATAGCCTAATTTTGGCTGAGTGTGGTGGCTCATGCCTGTAATCCCAGCACTTTAAGAGGCTGAGGCAGGAGGATCGCTTGAGGTCAGAAGTTCAAAACCATCCTGGGAAACAGCAAGACCCCATATCAGCAAAAATTTTTAAAAATTAGCTGGGTATGGTAGCACACACCTGTACTCCCAGCTACTTGGAGGCTGAGGCAGGAGGATCACTTGAGCCCTGGAGTTGGAGGCTGCAGTGAGTTATCATCATGCCACTACACTGTAGCCTGGGCAACAGAGTGAGACTCTGTCTCAAGAATAATAATAACCTAATTTTCTTTTATGATAAGGCTACTAAATTGACAAATCAAAGAAGTGCAACAGAGAACATGTACCCAAACTTCAGGAGATTTTTGACAAGATTTCTCATTATGACCTGGGGATAAGATAAAGAAAAGTGAAGAGAATGCTAATCTAATTCGGTGACTTTAAAAATCAGTGGTACTGGTGAGTGGACCATGATAGCCTGGAATTCATTTTCTATTGATACACCAGAGAGCTTCATCTTTGGCCTTGCCCTATTCAATTTTCTTAACATGAACTTCATTCAAAACTATAGAATGCTATGGCCATCAATTATATGCCTGACAGAAAGCTGGGACAGATAGCAAATGCAAGAGCTCGGGCAGAATTAGGATCCAAAAGGAGTCAAACAGGCCAAGTCTAACAAAAATGTTAAGTGCTGGATAATGTACTCGGGTCCAAAAATTACCTGAGCAAGTTCCGGATTGAGAAGATGTGATTTAGCAAAGCAGTACAATATAAAAAAATTAAACATATTAGCAGAAAATAATCCAATATGAGTTATTCATGTGTTTTGATTGCCAAAAAAGCAAACTAATCTTAAGCTACTTTAGTCGAATTGAAGTCTCTAGAATAAAAAAGTAGTTGATTCTACTCTGCTGTGTTCATCCCACACCTGCAGTATCCAGCATCAAGGAACACTCAGGATATGAGAGGATTCAGAACCAGATCACATAAGAAATAGTTGAAGGAAATAGGGAAGTTCATTCAGAAGAAGAGACCATCAGAAGGATATAATGGATGTGTGCAAATATTTGGTTTGAAGGGCTGTCATGTGATCAAAGTCTTGAACTTGTCCTTTGAGCTCCAAGAGGAACAGTCAGTGAGTTCATACTGCAGGGAGAAAGATTGCAAATTGACATTATAAAGAGCATTGTAACAATCAGGAAGGCACTTTGGACAAGCACTTTGCAGAGATCCTATGGTGGAGATAAAAGCTTTGGAGGGGAGATTGAAAGACTGTCTTGAAGCTTCTGTCTGTACTCATGGTGGGTCAGGATGCCTGCCTTCTCCGCCCCACTTCTACCCCTGCACTTTCTGTGGTGACATTCAGGGATCCTTAACTGGAGTCCTGGCTTTGTTTATGTTGAGGAGAGATTGTACATATCTTGGAGAATGGAAGCTCTTAGGGCCCAAGAAAAGCCTTGCTTATCGTTCCCAAAATATTAGTCTATAATTCCTTCTCACTTTAAAGTTTATAAAATATACAGTTTGATCCTCACACCATGAGGTAGGTAGGAAAGGCACCATAGAAACTAAGGCTCAGAGAGCTTTGCCGCAAGTAGGTTAGTGGTAAAGTTGGAACAAGAATCCAGGTCTCCCAGCTCCTGGTCCAGAACTTTTTAATTGTAGCAACTGCTTTTGTGTGCCCCAGGTTCATTCTCACGGACCTCATGCTCTCAGCAGATGCCCCTACGGCACCCTGTATGTAAGACCACACAACCCAGGGTTAAGGCTCTAGACTCATGGGCACTGTAGATTTCGGCCACTGCTAGCCTCTTTGTTGCCTCTGGCTGTTGTGATTGCCACCTCCAGCTGTTGTGCCTGTGGTTGCCAGCCTTTATATCTGCCACCTCCAGCTGTTATCTGTTGCTCCCAGCTGTTGTGCCACCTCCCACAGCCAGGCAGCTTTGTTCTCTGCGGTGGCCAGAGTCAGAAGTGGATAAACAATCAGCTACACTCCACCCTCAAGCTGCCCGGGCCCCTGGGGAAGGAAGCAAGCCAAAGCTCTGGAAATCATTTGTTGTGCACCCCACCACCCCCGGCACCCCCGCAAAATAAAACATACTGTTTCCTCTAGAGGGTGCTATTTCCCAAAACAGTCCCAGCCAGCCAAATACCAGAGACAGAATTCTGAAGACCAGCCTCTGAGTGGTGAAAGAGACAGAAACAGAGACATTCACCTTCTTTCTCCTCTAAGAACTGGTGATCCTTTCCCTAAAACAAAGGCCAGTCATAGCTACAGTGATGATCAGCAGGTTCCCTCAGCAAGTACCACTCCCGCTTACTGCTACCCCTGGAAGTTCTTCCTGGAGCTGTCTTTTTTTGCCTGAGCACTCATTTATTTTACTTGGGAGTCATTTATTCTCCAGGATAATACATGGATTTATCAGGGCCTTTCTTGAGTAAGGACACTGTTGTTCTTGTGACTCTCAAGAACTTGATCTGTGGCTCCCCTTTGCTTTTTGTTACTTTGCTCCTGGGTTTCTCTTCCTCAAATACACCTCTGACTAGAAAGGATGCTTCAACCCCTCCCAGGGGCAGCAGGTGCAGGGGAAAGAGAAAAGCTGCGCCCGCAGGGAAAGTGCTTTATCTTTTTTCTCTGTAGCCTCTCAGCACAGCATTCATGATTTGGTCTCTGCCTGCTTCTGACTTTACCCTTGACAATCTTTCACAGGCCCCCTGAACTTCAGTGAAGAGCCTCACTACCTAATCCTTTCTACCTTTGGACCTGCTTCTGCACTGCCCTGCTCCGTGCCTACCTGATGATCGATGTCCTTTTCTTTCAGAACTCGACTCAAGTGTTAATTACCCCCTTTGATGCCTTCCCTGACTCTCAAAAAAAAAATTCATCTTCTCTGTCCCCCCTATCCCCGCCCCAGAATGGGTTTATTTTACTATGCTTGCTCTTGTACATATTCTTTTTTTTTTTTTTTCTTTTTTCCAGATGGGATCTCACTCTGTCACCCAGCCTGAAGTGCAGGAGTGCAGTGGTGCAATCTCGGCTCGTTGCAACCTCTGCCTCCTGGACTCAAGCAGTCCTCCCACCTCATCCTCCTGAGTAGCTGGGACTATAGGCATGTGCCACCATGCCCAGCTAATTTTTGTACTTTTTAGTAGAGACAGGGTTTTGCCATGTTGCCCAGGCTGGTCTCGAACTCCTGGACTTAAATGATCTGCCCACCTTGGCCTCCCAAAGTGCTGGGATTACAGGTGTGAGCCACCGCACCTGGCCCTCTTGCACATATTCCTATTTTGAAGCATTATAGTGCTTTGAGATGATTTGTTTATCATTGTTTACCATCTTTGTGTTCCTAATGTAATACCACTGACTCTGCCTTTCATCTCTTTCCCCAGTGCCTAGTATAGTTTGTTAAGAAAGAGTAAGGGAATGACTGAAAGCCTGATCTGGACAGGCCAAGGCCCCCCTGAGGGCTGCAGTTTTATCTGCCTCACAGGAGACACCTAGTTCACACAGACCTTCAGGAGGAGCCACTTCAGAGTGCGAGGGGACCCAAGTTTACACAGGCTTTGCTAATGCTGCAGATGCTTACAACCCTGTTTTCAGAAGGTAAGAAAATAAAAGCCCAAGATATCAATCCCTCCTCTCTTCTGGGTCAACTGTTCCATTTGCAGGGGGTTGGGGAGAGAATGAGCTTTGTAAATTGCTACAGAGCTTTGGAGTTGATTATGCTAAATTAGGTGACTAGAAAAGATGCTTCAACCCCCTCCCAGGGGCAGCAGGTGCAGGGGGAGGGGAAAAGCTGCACCCGCAGGGAAAGTGCTTTGTTTTCTCTGTTGCAAGAGCAAGTTGACTGGAAGGAGCTTTGGGATATGAATACTAAATGCATTCACTTCCAAATGTAAACAAATCCTTTCTTCTCCTACTTGCTGCTCTATTTTGGTTCCTAAAATACTTAAAGGGACCATCATCCTACCCATTACCCACACTCAAAGCCAGGATCATCTCAAACTGTCTTCTTGCCTCAACTCAACATTTATCTAATGCCATGTGCTGTGGATTTATTATTTGTGCCTCCTCCCCTTCATTCCATTGTCTTCAAGTCCTAATGCCTTGTGACTGAATCACTGCATCAGCATCGTCCTCATCTCTTTCTTTCCTCAAATCCATCCTACATTGCTCCTGGGTTTCTCTTCCTCAAATACACTTCTGATCAGGAATCAATGAACATTTATCCAGTACTTTCAAAAGTACTTTCACATTTTATTCTCATGGCATTCTTATAAGATATTAAGATTATAATTCTTGTTTTATGAATGAGGAAACTGAGGCTCAGAGAGATGGTATGACTCAGTAAACTGTGGAATTAGATTCATGCTCAGGTCCCATCTCCCAAATCCATCCACTTTTCATTTTACTATAATTGTCTTAGTTCTTTCTCTAGCTTAAAACATTTTGATGTCTTCCCATTATCTATCAAAGACAGGCCAAACCCAGGCTGGCATGTAAGGCCTTCCACAGTCTGCTTCTGAACCTGCTTTCCTTATCTCTGACCACTTCTCTGCTATGGCACACTTCTTGCTGCAAGCAAACCAACCACTCCCTGCTCCCTGCCGTGCACACCCATGCTTTCCTGCCTTCCATGATCCTGCACTTCTCTCTTCCTGAGCTCCCCTTCCTCCTTGTCTTTACCTATCCAAGTCTTATCTTTCAGAGTCCAGTTCAAATAACCCCTCTTTCATGAAGCCTTCTCTGATTCCTACAACCTTAAGTAATGCCTCCCTTTTCTGAGTTTCCATATATGTATATCTATATCCATCTATACCTGTAATGGCACCTCTCTTAGTACATGATGTATCATTTGTATTCTACTACCAATAAGGTCACTGAAAGAAGGATCCAGCATTATACACACACACACACACACACACACACACACACATATATGTGTGTGTGTGTGTTATCCTAAAGATTAGCACAATGTATGACACATAGTAAGTGCTCAAGAAGTATTTTATGATTGAATTAAGAGTAGGGGGGACCCCTAACCCACTCCAGCCATAGGGGCCAATCTAACTAACTCCATCATCACAGGGCCAAGGAGATGTGGAAGTTCTTGTCTTAGGTAGAATGGATGGAACTTCACTCTGGTCCAGAACCTTTCACTCTGGGGCCTTCTCATTCCCCCTTCTTGTTTGTATCTTCTCTTGATTTTTTAATGATGTTTTTCTTTTTTCCTTGTATACATGGAAACCCCAGATAACTGATTATCGACACTAATAGGTACGCAAAGAAACCAAATGTTTTGATCTGTATTAATGTTGCCCACCACATTGAGTTTGAGTTGTGTTTTTGTTCATTTATACAATAAACACTTTGTTGTTGTTGTAGTTGTTGTTGAAACTTGGTCTCACTCTGTCACCCAGGCTGGAATGCAGTGGCATGATCATGGCTCACTGCAGCCTCCACCTCCTGGGCTCAAGTGATTCTAATACCTCATCCTGCTGAGTAGCTGGGACTACAGGTGCACACCACCATGCCCCAGCTAATTTTTTTTTTTTTCTTTTTTGGTAGAGATGGGATCCCACTATGTTGCCCAGGCTTGTCTCAAACTCCTGGGCTCAAGTCATCCTCCCATCTTGGCCTCCCTAAATGCTGAGATTACAAGCATGAGTCATCATGCCCAACCTCAGTAAACATTTTTTTTCCAGCAACTACTGGGTGCCAAATTCTAAACAAGGCAATGGAATTATGGAGATGGATCAGATGTAGATTCTTTCTGTAAAGACCTTGCAATCTAATAAAGGAGACAACTGTAAAACAGGTAGGAAGTGATAAGTGCCATAAAAAAGGTGTCAGTGAAGTGCAAGAAGAGCTTGTGAAGGGAAAACTGACATCTAGTGCAAAGGAACGGGGTTGGGAAAAATGAGGAAATCCAGGGCCACCCAGGAAATAAGGAAATAAGGATCCATTCATTTTAGTTGAAGCGTTGGGAGCACATGAAAGATCTTAATAGGACACACTGGGAAAACAGTGATATGCTCTGACCCCTCAACACCCTCCTGCTTTGTGGCCAGCCCCTGTGGGTTCCTTCATGGCCAGCTGCAGGGCCAGGGTCAGGTGCAGAACCTTGGCTTCCTTCATGGTGCTCTAGCCTGCTGGTCTTTTCGTTTCTCTTTTCTTTTTCTTTTTTTTTTTTTTTTTTTTTTCTTTCTTTTTTTATGGAGTCTCACTCTGTCTCCAGGCTGGAGTGCAGTGACGCAATCTCAGCTCACTGCAACCTCCACCTCCCGGGTTCAAGCGATTCTTCTGCCTCAGCCTCCCGAGTAGCTGGAATTACAGGCATGAGCCACCATGCCCAGCCGGCCAGCTGGCCACCATGTTGGCCAGGATGGTCTTGATATCTTGACATCGTGATCCACCTGCCTCGGCCTCCCAAAGTGCCGGGATTACAGGTGTGAGCTACAGCGCCCAGCCTAGCCTGCTGGTCATTCTTCCTCAGAGTCACTAGATGATTTCTGTTTTTTGACTGTGGAGTATTTCCTCTTGCAAATGTTTGGTTCAAGGAAATGGAAGGAGAGATGGAGGGGAACTAACATGTATTGAATGCCTTCTCTAGAGCAGCACTTCATATTTCATCTTTGCAACTCTGTAAAACAAATCTTATTATCTTTGTAGTTACTGCTGAGGAAATTAAGGTTCAGAGAGCTCAGGTGACACAACTTATCGGTAGCAGAGCTGAACTTTGTGCCTCTTTCTGACTGGATTCCAAAGTCCTTTCCAGCATAACTTCATATTAATACTACAGTTTATTTGCCTTCAGTGAGCAAACTCAACACTCAACAAGCAGACATGACACCTTAAGCATAGTAAAGGTTAGCAGGAGCCAGACAGGTATGAAAAATTCACCAGCAGTGATGCCCAGGATATATCCAAGGGTTGGAGGTGACACCCTTCCTTCATGACTGCTTGATCCCATTGATTCTCTCCTAGTTTTGCATGACTTGTCTTTATTCTCCCTACTTCCTTTGTGTAGACTCTCCTCCCAGCGATCTTCTCATCTCTATCAATTGTGCTTCTCTGCTTGTCCTGTCTTGTACTTCATCCTGGCTGTCACTAAAATGTCTCCCCAACGCCTGTCCTCCTTTTCACCTCCCTCTTTGACTTTGTATTGCCTACACATCTCTCTGGCTTTCCCTTCTTTTCCTTATGGTTTCTCCAGCTTCCTGTGTCTCATCCTGGGAATAGTATGCTATCCATCTAATCATAACTCTCGCCTTCAAATTCTTTACCACACTTTATCCTTCTCTTCTCCTTCTGTATCCCACAGCCTATTTGTCCATATTAATAGAGACATTCTAAGCCCCAAAGCCTCCGATTCTTCTCCCTATTTCTTCCTTGTAGAAAAGAGCCTTTTGATTGAAGGATCTGGAAATGAGATCAGAAAGGGAGGCAGATTCCAGGAAGATAGGAACAGTTTCTACTATAGCTATTAACTAATCCATTTATCTTAGGTTTGAAGGTCCTACCAATCACTGTTTGGTAAAGACAAATGAATAGGTGGACAGGGACTCAGCTTACTCTCTGTCCTACTATCTGTCCATCATGCTTAAGAACCCCAGATCCAGCTCTGTTCTTATTCCAACTTTGAGGGCTTACATAATCCTTGCAGTACTTTTCTTCCTTCCCTTCCTCTCCTATCCTTCTCCTTCCTCTTCCACTTTGGGAGAGTCCTGTATGCAGTAGAGGGGTTTTGAGCACTATGTCTCAGCACCTGAGATTAGGCTGGTCTCCACACACATTCTTATCTTAGGCACTTGAGCTAGGTATCTGTCCTTGCCCAGCATTCTGAAGATAGAGTGAGAGAATTAGGCTCAAGGATGTGTAAAAGCTGCTCAGAACTAAGAGAAAGCACTGCCTGGTGGAACATGCACCGTACTGGGAAGCAAGAAACTTGGGTGCCCATCTCAACTCTGCCACTGACTAGCTGTGACCTCAGTCAAGCCTCTCAGCCTCTCGGGTCTGTATTTCCTTCATTGTGGAATGGGGGTTGGTATTAGTTCCACACGTCTCAAACTAGGGCATGCACTAGTGTGCCAGGAGGCACTCAAAGCCACAGGACTAAATTTAGTGTATTTCCTGAAGTTACCAATTTTGCTCAGATTTTGAGGGAAAATGCTATTTTAATATTATGCCAACAATATACAATGAAGTAGAATAAAAATTTTGAATGGCTTAAGACAAAAAGAGATTTCAAGGATGTCCAGTGTGTGGCCGCTTATGGCTCATCCCTGTAGATTCTAGGGCACAAATTCCCTCTTCTCTGCCTTTCAGGACACGTTGCGAGGTCAGTCTGGGAGGTGCTATGTTAGAGAATGATTAGGTCACTTCCTGCTGTAAATCTCTATGTCCAGCCCGAGTCTGGTCCCACTCCTCCCCCCAGCCTCGGTGGAGAAAGCAAACAGCTACTCAGACTCCTCTCACCAACCATATTATCTCTTTTTTGGATACCAGTTCCAACTTGAAGAGCTACCTTAGAGTCCTCCAGAAGGAGATCAGTTACTTTGGGATGAAAAAGAAGCACTTCTGGCCTTCCAAGTGTTCTTAAT